ACTGGGAGACCTTCCAGAAGTCCTTCCGGACAAAGCCATGGTGGCAGAGGCAGAGGAGGGTAGGGGCAGTTGTGGGTGATCAGGCCAGCAGGCAGGTGAGCAGTTAGGAGGCAGTTGTCCTGGATTACAAAAGGGATGTCAGACTGTCGGTTTAGGCCCAATCCCCAGCAGTCAGACATCTCCCGAGGAGTCCCACATTGGAGAGGGTGCAGGCTGGGCTGAGGGACAGCCCCCCCCCCCCCGCCCCCCTCCATGCCCGTGCATGAATTTCGTACACCAGGTGATTAGTAATAAATAATTTTATTAAAGGTCTCTTTTTTCACATTAGCCAAAAACTTTTCATTCTAGATGCGCCGATACTTCTTTTTTTAAAAAAATATATTTTATTGATTTTTTACAGAGAGGAAGGGAGAGAGATAGAGAGCTAGAAACATCAGTGAGAGAGAAACATTGACCAGCTGCCTCTTGCACACCCCCTACCGGGGATATGCCCGCAACCAATGTACATGCCCCCAACCAGAATCGAACCTGGGACTTTTCAGTCCGCAGACTGACGCTCCACCACTGAGCCAAACCGGCTTCTTCTTTTAATTTTTAAAAAGTCAAGTGGCCTCTGCTTTCTTTCAGCCTCAAGGCTTCTCACTTGGTTGAATGACATCATGGATCAGTTTTCCAGAGCTCTGCAGCCGTCTTCTAGTTGATGTTCATGATCCTGGCCTTTGGCAACGACCAGTTCATTCTGCTGCAGTGACGAAGTTGGGAAAGCATCTACAGGGGAAACCCCAGGAGAATGATCCATGGCAGGGTTCAGGAGGAGAAGGCGGTGCAGAGGTTGTCCACCCAAGGAAATGGTAGCAGCCAGGATGGGAAACCCTCCTTACCTGGGGCTCCACTCCCTGAGCCAAGGGGTTAGGAACTGGTGTCAGCTGGATGCCCGTGTGCTCCTGGGTCACACTAGTCATCAGAACCAGGAGCCTGAAGCCGGGTCACAGCAGTTTTCGGCCCCCATTCCCTACTCACTTTCATTATTGGAGACTTAAAGAACTACCCACAGAACGCCTTCGTGGGCCTGCCTCCAGCGAGCTTGGTGTCGCCCCAGCCTCTGGCATGGCCGTGTACCGTGTCCCAACTCTGCTGGGAGTCACCCTCCTGCAGAACAAGGGGAAGGCGATACTTCCTTCCTGCTGCAAAGGCGCCTGCGGGTGAGAGCTGGGTGGTTAGCGCTTCCTGTCCACTCTGCACTGGGACCACACGGTGTCCTCTCCTGGTTCGACACCCTTCACCCTGCCATCCGCCCCAAAGTCCCCTTTCTTCCAGAGCTGCTGGAACTGAGTGCACTTGAGGCTGGTGGGACTACTTCTATTCCAAACCACTGAGCTGCAACTTGCTAGTTTTCAGTGGTGGAGGGCAAGAATGTCTTCCCCCTCCACTGCCTAGGCCTGCCTCTACCCCCACCCCTCCCACTTCCTTCTGTTACGAGCTGATTAGGCCCCCATCTGACTGCCTGCCTGTACCCAATCTTTTCTGACTCCTGGAACTGGAGACCAGGGTGGCGTGGGAGTGAGGGAGTAAGTGAAGAAAAGAAAAAGGAAGGGAGTGGCAGAATGGTAAGTGGTTCTTGTCAAAATGTTCTGTTAGCAGAGGCCAGCCTTGGCCTGACCCCCCCTCCCAGAGGCAGGGCTAGCGGGCAGGGTTGATAGATAATAGTTTCAAACACCATCTGCCAGGTCATGTATACAAGGCGGTTTAGGGATGTCCATGAAATGGGTGACAGTGCGCCTGTCTGGACATCCTAGCACCGCAGGTAGGAGTGCTCAGCAGGCTGCTGCAGGGAGGGGATGGGAACTGTAGGCTGCCTTGGAGACAAAGATGTGAAATAATTATGATGTGACCCTCGTGACAATATGGCTTAACTGGTTTACCTGGTCTTGTAACCTAACAAAGAACAATTTCCATAACCCAATGAATGTTCCAATCATCAAAATGTCCATGTCTGTATATACTCCTCACCTCTTTTTAGGGAGGATTTGAGGCTAAGTACACAAATAACTGTGCTCAGTAACAAAGAATGAGCTAAGTGCTACAAGAGGGCTACCCAGTGGCCAGAGAGAAAGTGTGTTAGAAGGAGCTTTGGCCTTTACTGGTCCCACCACCTACCAGCTTGTGGCCTCCAGGCGGCATTAACCTCTTAGTTTCCTCTCTAGCCAAGTGGACTTAATTCACTGCTGCTCTGCAGAGTTTGTGAGGCTTAGAGACAATAAATGTAAAGTACTTACCACAATGTCCCAAATAGATGGGCCTTCATGAACAACAGCTACTACTACTACTGGAGTTTTTTATTTTATTTTATTTATTTTATTTTATTTTAATATATTTTATTGATATTTTACAGAGAGGATGGGAGAGAGATAGAGAGCTAGGAACGTCGATGAGAGAGAAATATCGACCAGCTGCCTCTTGCACACCCCCTGCCGGGATGTGCCTGCAACCAAGGTACATGCCCTTGACCGGAATCAAACCTGGGACCTTTCAGTCCGCAGGCCGATGCTCTACCACTGAGCTAAACCTGTTTTGGCAAGTTTTTATTTTATTTTTTTTAAAATGCCTGACTTGCACTGACTTGTTTGGCTCAGTGGAGTCCCAGGTTTGATTCCGGTCAAGGGTATGTACCTTGGTTGCGGGCACATCCCCAAGTGGGGGATGTGCAGAAGGCAGTTTATGGATGTTTTTCTCTCATTGATGTTTCTAACTTTCTCTTCCTTTCCCTTCGTGTAAAAAACCAATAAAATATTAAAAATATATATCTGACTTCTAAAAACTTTATTGATTTTGAGAGAGAGGAAAGGAGAGGGATAGATAGAAACATGGATGAGAGAGGAACATCATCAACCCGCTGCCTCCTGCATGCCCCCTGATGGTGACAGAGCATGCAACCCGGGCAAGTGGAAACGGTGACCTCTTGGTTCCTGGGTTGATGCTCAACTGCTGAGCAACACCAGCTTGGCCACTACTAGAGTTTTAAAACAAGCCGTGATGAGACTTCCATGTGCCATTTACACATACCTTCCTGGGTGTGAGCATCCACAGGAGTGGGATCAGGGAATCCTAATCCCAACGGCTCCGAGAGTCTGGCTCAGCTTCTGGGAACATTCTCTTCAGGAGTCAGGGGGAGGAGGGGACACCTTGAACCCCTACATGCCTCCTTTGCCAGGGTGACCATCGCTGCTGCCAAAGTGAGGCCCACTTTCCATTCGCTTTCCCATTTCATCCTCATGATGGTCCAATGGAGTGAGTACAGTAAGAGAATGGCAGCCCGGCAGCTAGGCTAGGCCACGCCAGTGGTGGAGTTGGGATTTGGGTTCAAGTCCAAGCTCTCTGGCACTGCCCTGGAGTGGGCCTCCAGCTGCACCAAAGTAGGGTCTGCCTCCTGGGATTCTCCACCGCGGCCAGTCCCCTCACCTCGACCTCCCTCTTCTCGCGCCCCCTCACTCATCTTAGTGTTGAGCTCTGTACTCTACCTTCTTCAAATCCTACATCCTTCTCCTTCCTCCTGGGAGGGCGCTTTCTGAGCCCTCTCACAGGTGTCCGGTGTCTCCTTACAAGACTTCCCCAAACCGGAGCCACGGGTAGGCACATTGCCTCTGTGTGTGTGTGTGTGTGTGTGTGTGTGTGTGTGTGAGCGATGAAGACAGAGGGAGGTGTAGAGAGCCTTTTGAGAAAGCACATAACATTCTTTTTTTTTTTCTTTTAAATATATTTTATTGATATTTTACAGAGAGGAAGGGAGAGAGATAGAGAGCTAGAAACGTCGATGAGAGAGAAACATCAACCAGCTGCCTCTTGCACACCCCCCCCCCCCCAACGGGGATGTGCCCGCAACCAATGTACATGCCCTTGACCAGAATCGAACCTGGGACCTTTCAGTCCACAGACCGACGCTCTACCACTGAGCCAAACCGGTTTTGGCACATTCTTTAAATTGTCAGCTGAGCCCCAGGTATTGGCAGAGTACCTTTGTCCAGGTGTCAGCAGAGGCTGGTCTAGATATATAAATAGAGATGCTAGAGCCTAGTTAAGTATGCAAATAAGCCCCTTTGATCCTATAAATAAACATGCTGCTGTGGCTTGGGGTGTCGCCTGCTGCCTCTCCATCAGAGAGATGGCACCCACCTAGCACTTGATGAATCTATTTCTGCCTCTTGTCTCTTTCTTTCTCTAATTTCTTAATCCCCAACTCCTCCACTCAGGAACCTGTTTTCCGTGATGGACACGGGGGGGGGGGAGAGAGAGAGAGAGAGAGAGAGAGAGGAGAGAGAGAGAGAGAGAGAGAGAGAGGGAGGAGGGAGGGAGGAGGGAGGAGGGAGGAGGAGAGGAGAGAGAGAGAGAGAGAGAGAGAGAGAGAGAGGAGAGAGAGAGAGAGAGAGAGGAGGCACCCAATCTAGTCCATGCACCACCCTCAGTTATTGGGAAAGGGCTCGCTGGTGTTCCCTAGGGGAGAGCACTTCAGCCTCAGCCCCTTCGCCGAGTCCCTGCTGTTCCTGCCTTGCCTGCCGGGGGCCCCATAGGATGTCTTGGCTTCACCCCACTCCCTGCCACCCTCCAACCCTGGGGCAGGAAGAGGCGATGGGATGGGAGAGCCGGGGGCCGGCTGCTCCCGGGTGCTGTGCTGTGCCGTTGGCGCCCGGTCCCTTTCGGAGGGAGCAGGCCAGAGTGCAGACGAGGCCAGGCTCCCGCGGGCCCGGAGCGCGGGCGGCAGTGCCACCTGCTGAGGGCCCCGCGGCCGCGGCCACCGCTATAACAGGCCGCCGGGACCGCGTGTGCGGCGCACATCCCGCCACCGGGGCCTCCGTCCCGCGGGCTCCGCGCCCTGGGGCCGCAGGAGAACCGCAGGCCGGGACCCCGCGCTGGGATGGCGCCCCGACACCCTTCCCCGGGCCAGGGCTGGAGCCCCCAGGCGGGCGGGCGGCCGAGGATGCAGCGCCCGGAGGACCCGGGGCGGGCGGGCGGGGCGGGAGGCCGCGGGGACCCGCACTGCAGCAGCCGCGGTCCGCATGGGGCTCCCGGTCCCCGCCGCGCCGCTCCGGCGGCCACACGGCCCGCGGGGAGGAGGGCCCCGCGTCCCCCTCTAGGTCCCCAGGGACCGAGCCGGGAGATCCCCGCTCCTGCCCTCCCCTCGCCTCCCCCGCGCTCGCCCGGCCCGGGAGGAGGAAACGCGAGCCGCGCGCAGACACCACCTCCGCCTCCTCCTCCTCCTCCTCCTCCTCCTCCTCCTCCTCCTCCTGCTCAGCCGCCGCCGCCGAGCCTGTTGCTGCTGCCGCCGCCAGACCCGCGGGATCCCCGGCCCGGGGAAGAGGCGGGAGCCGAGCCCAAGGCCCCCTCCCAGCCCTTGCGGCTGGAAGCAAGCTGCCAGGGGGGCGCGATGGACGCCCCGCCCGCCCGGGCCGCCCCCCAGCGGCCCCCCAGCACCTGAGCGCCCCGCGCCCGCAGCACAGGTAGGCGCCTTCCCCGCCTCGTCCGAGCCCCGCGGCTGCTTCCCCCCGGGGCATCCCGGCCGCACCCCGGCCCCAGCACCCCCCCCCCCCCCCCCCCCCCCCCCGCTCCCGGGCCCCCGGGATTCGGGCAGCCCAGGGGCGCTTCTGAGGTCCAGGAAACCCGGGGCTCTCGGGGGAGGAAGTTCATTGCCGCCTCCTTGCGCCCCCCTCCTTGGACCAAAGCGAAACCTTCTGGTTCTTTAAGGACCTGGGAGCCCGGAGAGCCTCCCTCCGCCTTCCTCCCCAGCCCGGCTCTGAGGTCCTCGCGTCGCCCTCCGTCCCCTCCCGCCAAATCTCTCTTTCTGGCTAACGTGTTTGGGAGGCGACCAGCTTGGGGGATGGACGTTAGAGGGATCCCGTGCCACCCTCGAAAAGTTCAGGGCATTTCGCTGCAGTAACTTTGGCAGCGGCACCGGTGCACCGCTCGACATTTCTTTCTATGGGCACATCCTGTGCCCGTCATTTCGAAACCCTGCTTAATTGTTTGTAGCCGTCCCCTGATTGGTCTGTGATTATGGGGATCCCCCCCCCCCCCGCCCCAAACTTGGAGGCACGTTGTTGTTTTTACTTAAAAGAAAGAGGAGTCGTTTTTCTTTGGAATCCACCTAGAGGCGGCTCTCCCCGTTGTAAGTTTATGGATATAGTTTATTCTCTGCAAGTCGCTTAGGAAGGGAGAAAAAAATGAAAGTGATAACTGTTCCTTCCACTAAACAGTTTTTACAGTGGCCCACATGAGTGGACAGGTATTCACTTCCTGTAGATCTCACGCCTCCTTTTGGATCACTTAATTGATTAATATAATCAGAAAGAGTATTTAAATATGACCTGGTTTATACGGGTCACACCCAAGAAACTCAGCTCTCTCTGCTCCAGCTCTGCAAACCCACACTTCTAAACTTTCTGCACTGTATGTACTGAAGACGAGCTGCAGCGGCCCTGATAAAAAGCCCCCTTTAGGAAAGCAGAAATTCATTCTCTTCCCCAGATTCCAGATGGGATGGGGTGGAGGTGGAGAATGGCCACCTGGGGTTTTGTTGTGTGTGGAGAGCCTGCTCCGTGTGGGAGGGGTTGAGTGGAAGAATGAATGGGCGCTGTCTCAGGAGGCTGGGAATCCACTTCTCAGGACTCTGATGTTTCTGAACAATTCCTCTTCTGTCTCTCCCCAGGGTTAGGGAGCCCTGGGGCAGGTGAGTCCTGGAGTTGAGCTGGCTATATATGATAGAGAGCTAGAAACATCGACCAGCTTACCCTCCCACCAGGGATGTGCCCACGACCAATGTACATGCCCTTGACGGAACTGAACCTGGGACCTTTCAGTCTGCGGACCGACACTCTATCCACTGAGCCAAACCGGTTTCTGCGATCTGGCTTGTCTTGTTGGGAGGAGCTCCTCCCTGGGGACCTTGAAGACATCCAGGAATAAGGACATAGTATGAAAAAGTTTGTCAACAGAAAGGGTTGACAACTATTGTAAACAGGTGTTTTACATCTTTTGGAAATGGAATGTATCACAGTCTCAAATCTTTTTCTAATCAAGATATAGGGAAATAAGAACCCCAGAAGTGCTTTCTTGGCAGATTTATCTACAAGTAACTACTGACAAAACCAGCTACTGGATAGAGAGCATAGCTGTGAGTTAAAGGATGGGATGTTGAGGGGACATTTTCTTTTTAAAAAAAGTCTTTTTATTGCCAAAACCGGTTTGGCTCAGTGATAGAGCGTCGGTCTGCGGGCTGAAAGGTCCCGGGTTCGATTCCGGTCAGGGGCATATACGTTGGTTGCGGGCACATCCCCGGTGGGGGGTGTGCAAGAGACAGCTGGTCGACGTTTCTAGCTCTCTATCTCTCTCCTTTCCTCTCTGTAAAAAAAATCAATAAAATACATTAAAAAAAAAAAAAAAAGGGATGGAATGTTGAGGGGACATTTTCTTTTTTAAAAAAGTCTTTTTTTTTTGCCGAAACCGGTTTGGCTCAGTGATGGGTGTTGGTCTGCAGACTGAAAGGTCCCAGGTTCGATTCCGGTCAAGGGCATGTATGTTGGTTGTGGGCACATCCCCGGTAGGGGGTGTGCAAGAGGCAGCTGGTCGATGTTTCTCTCTCATCGACGTTTCTAGCTCTCTATCTCTCTCCCTTCCTCTCTGTAAAAAAATCAATAAAATATATTTTTTTAAAAAAGTCTTTTTATTGATTTTATTTATTTATTTATTTATTTATTTATTTATTTATTTTTAGAGAGGGGGGTGGGGTGGGGAATGGTGAGGGAGAGAGGTAGAAGCATTCAATGTGAGAGTGAAGTATCAATTGGCTGCCTCCTGCATGCCCCCTACTGGGGGTTGAGTCCACAATCCATGAATGTGCCCTGACTGGGAATTGAACTGGCAACCCTTCCAATCAGGTGATAATGAAAATAAATGCCTTTATATGGGTTTGTCTAGCTGTTTGCAAACCAGTAAAATTCATTGATTTTATAAATTATTAATTTTAAAATTTTTGCAAATAGGACTGTGACATAGCCTACCATTAGCTTTCCCACAGAGCACTCTGGGGATTTTCCCTTTCACTACGATAACATTTCTGGTTGGGTGCCATCACGTCAGTGCTGCCCTCTTATCCATTATGACATTGTTTGTCATAGTACCAGGGGGTAGGAGAAAGAAGGGCAACTCCGAAGAAACATAGCTTGCCCCTTCTCCCTTGTTACCCAGCTATTGACAATCTCTGTCTCCTAGTTCCTAGAAAATAGCCTTTGCCTGGCCAGTGTGGCTCAGTGGTTGAGCTTTGACTATGAACCAGGAGGTCATGGTTCGATTCTGGTCAGGGTCCATGCTTGATCCCCACTGGAGGGTGTGCAAGAGGCAGCTGATCAATGATTCTCTCTCATCACTGATGTTTGTCTGTCTCTTCTCTCTCTCCCTTCCTCTCTGAAATCAACAAAAAGATATATATTTAAGTTCACACACACACACACACACACACACACACACACAGCCTTTACCAGAAGGACTGCAGTGGCAATCAGATGTACCCCCATGGGGAGCCAGGTGTGGGTAATCAGTTCCTTTCATGCCCAGATCTTCTTGGATGTACCCCTGGGAAACAGCCCGGAGTGCTGTTCTCAGCAGCATGGAGCTTCCCTATTTCCCATTCACGCCGACATCTCGATTTTGGCGCCTAGAGTAGGGCTGCATGCTTGAGAGGGTTTTGTTTTTGAATATGTCTTAATTGTATGTCACAAAGTGATAACTCCCTCAAACATATTTTACTCCCTTCATAGCATTTCTCTGAAGGTCCCTAGTTTCCGCTCTTCGGATTCCTCAGACCCAATATGTGTATCAGCTCATTTGGGGGCTTCTGTCTGCTGGTGGGCGGGTGCCTTGGCATGATTTGCTTTGCCCTTTTCCTTACCTTCTCAAGTTTATGGCTGTGCTAGTTCCAGAGTGTGATATGTTTCTCAGGCCTTCTCTTTTCTTGATCATTAAAAAGCCGGAGAAGCAGAATCTGGTCATTAAACATAACCCCGAGTCCGCTGAGCACAGTGTAGGTGATGGCACAGGGGTACCTTACAGTGGCCTTTGCTGACTATTATCTTCCGTTCTTCTTTCCCAACCCCACATACTGTTAAAAAAAATATTCTTAAACCAGACTCCTCACAAAAGACAGGAAAGTTTCCATTTTCAAGATTTTGACATTTTCAAGCCGAGATTTCCATTGGATGGATTCTTAGATGTGAGAGCAGTGTGTCCCTTTTCAGGTTTCAGATGTTCAGCAAAAGATGAGTCACATTTGGGCCACGTGAAGCAATCTTTGCCCTTGGCCTTCTGTGCGGAAGGCAGGGAGCATGCTCAGCGCCGGCTGAGAGGCATTCAGGCTGGGGTGTGCCTGTTTCCTTGTGACAAGCAGCAGCTCCTTTTCTCTTAAAAAAAGAATATACTTGTCTAACAACACATCATTTATGATCAGTGATCCTACCCTGCCAAAATAAGTAAGCATTATGGGTTCATTGTCACACTTAATTCATCTATGTGAAGTTCTTAGAACAGTGCCTGAGACCTAGTAACACTTAAATATTACTTATTGCTATTATTTATTTGTTTACTTTATATTTTTAGAGTATAACTTCGTCATTAGTTTTAGATTACTGAGGCCAAGAAAGATTTGGGTAGAAAAACAACCCAGCTAATCCACTAGAAAGAGGAATTTTAGAGTTATTCCCTTCTAGGTAGAAATATTCTTCTACCTCAAAGAATAGAAAATTGGGCATAAGACAGGTCTGGATTCAAATCCTGCCTTCACCATTTACTGGCCAGGGGACCCTTCGGTAACATGGGAGTGATAAAACATGCTTCTCAGAGTTGTAAGACTACATATATGTAATATCCAAGAATAGGCAATTAGTCAATCTAGCAAAGTAGTTAAGCCCAAGTACAAACTCTGCCCAAGAACCTGGGTTCAAAGCCTGGTTCTGCCACTTGTTATGAGTATGACCTTGAGCGAGTGACTTCAGTTCTCTGTGCAGAAAATTTCTTCTAATTTTTCTTCTTTAAATTGGAGCTGCTAATGATAGTATTTCATAATAGTCCTTATTCAGTATGATAATAATAATCTTTATTGTCCAAGGTGGTTGTGAGAGCTAAATTGGATAATATTATAGATACAAAAGTGCTATTATGTGTTAACAATTATTACTAATAGAGGAATGGATAAAGATATGGTATATACACACACACACACACACACACACACACTGGACTGTTACTGGGCCATAAAAGATGAAATCTAGCCATTTGTGACAACATGGGTGCACCTAGAGAGTATTATGCTAAGTGAAATACAAAGACAAATACCAGATGATTTCACTTATATGTGGAATCTAAAAATGAATAAACAAACTCATAAATACAGAGGACATTTTAAAAAAATATATTTTTATTGATTGCAGAGAGGAAGGGAGAGGGAGAGAGA